TTGCTATCCACTCAGATAACTGTCCACTGCTTTTGTATTGATCACATACATTAACATTTCACGGTTTACACCTCCAACTGTCTTTCATACTTGGTTCTTGCTTTAAGTTTTTGCTCTTGCCTTGTCTTCTTGGGGCATCTCGTTTTAGCCTATGTGACACTCTCTTACAGAACAGTCTCTTACTACTTCCCAGTTTCCCAGGAAGTCTCAACATCTGCCTTGGACTTGACTCAGGTACTTCCAGAAATTTATTCCCGGAGTATCTCAATAAGCGCCTATAGAGGATGTCTTCTTGGTCTCCAGTGTGAATTCTCTCCTGAGAAACTGCACTGTGTCTAAAGGTAAAGTGTCAAACCCAGCTTCCTTCTACTTCCAGCCAACTCTCTCCCCACCTCAAGTGCTAGGAACCAGGAGTAGCTTGACACCTGCATTTCCTTTTGTCTCTGCGGGGAGTTTTGCAGGGCTGAGAAGCATCTCCCTGCTTACTGAGAGTCATTTATATTAATACCCGGATTCCCAGGTGGCGCAAGTGATATAGAACACGCCTACCAATCCAGGAGGCACAAGAGATGTGGGTTCCATCCCTGGGTTGGGAAGATCCCCTGGAGGAGGAAACGGCAACCTACTCCAGTGTTCGTTCTTGGACAATTTCATGGACAGGGAGCCTGGTGGGGCCACAAAGAGTCCAACACGCCTGAGCCCATTTATAGTAATGTAACTTTTGGTAGGGAACCAGGCAAGAGGCACGAAATTCATTGTCATGTAAAATATAAGAGGATTCTACCTTATTATATGTATATATTTTAAGAGAAGGCCAAAAGATTCAGTTTCCTTCCAAAAGTATTGTATAGAAAAAAAAAAAAGATGGAGGCAAAGCGTCTTACATGTTTCATTACAGATTTTTTATTAATAACTCTATCGACTCTTTCCTCTTACGTGTTCAAGTCTTCTGTCTCTGTACTACTTCTGTGCACAGCCGTTGATTCCTAGGGAAATTGTTGACTTTACCTCTTACCTTTGGTTAAGAGATAAATAAATGAAGCATTGCTTAAGTCCTCAGATAGGTTTTTCTTTTATCGTAAGTAACGCATTGACTTGCTTTTTCCCCAAAAGAAACCCTACAAAGAGAATCAGAAGAGGCGAAAAGAAGCCCATTGTTTTCTTCTGCTTTCAGAACTCAAGCTAATTAATTAGACCAAATCAAGCTCCACGAATTAATCTAGCAAATGAAATATACTGTGTGCAGTGGAGGCTTAGACATCTGCCCTGCACAAAGTTTATTTAAGGTTCTTTGGCAGCAAATCGCGCTGGAAGAGGCGGCTTCTTGGATGCTGTCTACTTGCAATTTGACACCTAATGGTTTTCCTCTTGGCTGAGAAACTCCATAAACAGAAGTGAGCTAGAGGCCACGTGACCCCAACAGCTCCGCTCCCTGGAAAGGAGGGGCAGGCAGGGCGGTGGGAGGACGCTGCTCTTGGCTGCTGCCCTAAGATGCATCTAGCAAGGAAAACATCCTCTCTGTGAAGCCTGGGGCCATGTCCTTAAGAGCCCGGGCATCGGCCTGACCTCTGAGGGTAGGGTGAGCCTTCCACTCCATCCTGGGTGAGGAGGCTGCTTTCAGACAATCCTTTTTGTGCAAAGGCGGGATGCAGGGCTAGAGCAAGCCTTTAGAGCAGAATGTCTGAGCTTTGTTCCATCAACATGGCTCTTAGCTTCCATTTTTTTCATCTCTAAAATTGAAATAATATTTTAAGTGACCATTTATTTAAGGCAATAACTCAAGCACTGTGCTAAGTCTATTGTGCTCACTCACTTCAGTCGTGTCAGATTCTTTGTGAACCCACGGACTGTAGCCCACCAGGCTCCTCTGTCCATGGGATTCTCCAGGCAAGAATACTGGAGTGGGTTGCCATTGCCTTCTCCAGGGATCTTCCTGACCCAGGGATCGAAAAATCTGCACCTCTTATATCTCCTGCTTTGACAGGTGGGGTCTTTACCACTAGTACTACTTGGGAAGTCTGCTAAACATACTGGGTTTTCTCGTTTAGTTCTAAATGAAAAGCAAACTAGTTAAGAGTTTGATGCTGGGTCCATGTTCTGACTTCTCTCAGCCCCAGTTTTCTCATCTGTAACCCAGAAATCATGAGAGTTCTTACCTCCCAAAGGTCATTGGGAAGATTACTCAAGATGATGTGCAAAAAAAAAAAAAAAATTGCTAGAGTGATTGACACATCATCAGAACTCAGTGGAAGATGACTATTAACAATTTTCAAATGGTATCTATTATCCCCTTTACAGATGTGGAAACGGGTACCAATAACAGTTGCTAGCGAGCGGAACTGCAATTCACGCTTAGATCTGTTGACTTCTAAACCTTAGCTCAAACCTCCTGGCTGGGAAGAATTGCTGTCGCCTGAACTGGCTCATCCCCTTTGCCTCACCGCATGCCCCCTGCCTTCTCTGTCCTTCCCCCCGATGTCTATGAATCATCCTAACACTCAGCTCTGTTCTCCTGGTTCCCAGACTGATCCTGACTTGAGGGAGGAAGTTCCAAACCAGACTCAGCCTCTCCATCCTTTGAGGCTGAAGACTGAGTCACTCTTCCTGTTACTGTGAATTCAGGACAAAGCGTCCCCGTGCTAACCACAGACTCCTGTCTACTCGCTACCCCCGCGGTGGTCTCACAATGGAGGGGAAGGCCTTGCGGTGCAGACCGAGGTCTGCATCCCACTCCCTGGCCAGTTTCTCCACCTTCCCTGTCCAGCCCTGCCCCCTCCAAAGCTCACAAAACCAGGCTCAGCTTGCTGTTGACCTGAGAACACTGTGATCGCCGCTTTAAATACAACCCCTCTAATATACATTATAGTCTCCAAGGTAGCTATTTGTATTTCAAATTTAAATTGAGGAAATAAACTTAGAATGTTTACATAGGATACCCAGGGTCACACAACCATTAGCATCTATAAAAACCACCATTTTTTGCATTTTTTTTCTTTGCTGACATATCTAGCTCACCTAAAACAAGGTTTCTCCCCTCAGTACTATTCTAGCTGTGTTCTCATGTGAAGTGGGAAGAAAGGAAGAGATTGCCATTGCCTTTTTTTTTTTTTTTGACTCTGTGTGTCTCTTCGTTTATTTTTAAAAGTGTATATTGGAGGATAGCAGCTTTATAATGTTGTGCTAGCCTCCACTGTGCAGAAACACGAATCAGCTGTGCACACACGTACGTCCCCTTCCCTGGACCTCCTTCCCGCCCAGCTCCCCGCAGAGCACTGAGCTGAGCCCCTGGGCTGTGCGGGAGGGTCTCACCGGGCACCTATTTCGTGCACAGTGCTGCTGCTCTTCTTCAGCCGTGTCCAACTCTCCGCGACCCCGTGGACTGCAGCACCCCGGCCTCCCTGTCCCTCACCCTCTCCCAAAGTTTGCCCAAGTTCTGGTCCATTGCATCAGTAACGCCATCCAGTCATCTCATCCTCTGATGCCCTCTTCTGCCCTCAATTTTTCCCCGCATCAGGGACTTTTCCAATGAGTCAGCTGTTCGCATCAGATGACCAAAATACAGGAGTTTCAGTTTCAGCATCAGTCCTTCCGACGAATATATCAATAGTGTATCTGTATCAATTCCAATTTCCCAAGTCATCCCCCACTTTCCCCTTGGCATTCGTGTGTTTTCTGTCTACCTCTGCATCTCTGTTTCTTCTCTGTAAATAAGATCTATACCAGTATTTTTTTCCAGATTCCACATACACGCATTGATACACACTATTCTTTTTTCTCTTTCTGACTTCAATCTGGGTGACAGTCTCTAGGTGTGTCTACATCTCTGCAAATGACCCAGTAGCATTCTTTTTAACGGATAACAGAAGCAGCACCCATTGCCAGGCAGCATCTCATTGCCTCCTCTCTCATCCCATTGGCCAGAACTCAGCTATACAGCCATGTCTAGCTTCAAGGAAGCCTGGGATGCGTGGTTTGTCTTTTGTGTCCACAAAAATCAGGGCTTGTGATGGTTCATTTTATGCATTAACTTGACCAGGCTAAGGGGCACCCAGACAGCTGGCAACACATAATGTCTGGGAGTGTCTAGGAGGGTGTTTCCACAAGAGACGGGCTTCTGACTGGGGAGACTGAAGCTTCCCTCGCCCGAGAGCTCTTCTCTCACCAACGCGGATGGCATCCCCGTGCATGGAGGCCCGCATAGAACAAAAAGTGAAGGAACGGTGACTTCTTCCCTCCTCTTGAGCTGCGAGGTCCACCTTTTCTGCCCTCAGGTGTCAGAACTCCTTGACCCAGACCCAGTTACGCTAGCAGCCTTCCTGGGTTGCCAGCCTGCAGACTGTGCAGTGTCTCGGGCTCCATAACCCTGTGAAGCAGTTCCTCCAATAAATCTCGTCTTAAGTATCTCTATGTATCCAATTGGTTCCATTTCTCTGGAGTAATGCAGTAACCCTGACTAATACAGGAATCCTATTGTTGTAGAAAAACCAAAATAGACTTTGGGAACCACTAGCAATTTCCACCACAGCACTTTAGAGTTTTGTCACGAGTCTCAAGGGCCTTGTAAATGGGAGAGTGTTTGGTAAACCCTAAAGGGGAAGAAAAACCGACGCTGGGCTAAGCCTGGCTGCAGACTTCTTCTAAAAAAACTCTTACGCCACAAATCCTACAATTCTTACCAACTCATAAAAGTCAGGAAGATGGTGCAACCCTCACCTCAAGTTTTCCCATGACGGGGGCTCGAGGTAGGGTTGGGGTTGTGTTTGGGGTTTGGGTTAAGATTAGGGTAAGGGTTATCATTGGATTAGGTTTAGAGACAGGGTTAGGGTTAGGGTAGAGACAGGGTTCAGTTTAGGCGCTGGAGACAGAGTTAGCTTGGTTTCAGTGGGGAGTCGCGGCTGCGGCCTGAGTGCGGGTACAGCGACAAGGATTCAGAACATCCGAGGCTTCACCACTAGCTGGACGGCAGGTCATTTGATTTTCACACGTGTCATCTTTTCTAGAATGGGCTCAGATCGCCCCTCACGTCCTCACGTGTCCCACCAAACAAGTGAGTCTGCCGATGGCCCAACTGACATCAAAGCACCTCGGATACTGGGAACTGGGACTGCCTCATTTTGCCGCATCTGCCTGTCTGCCCTTGACTTTTCTTATCTCCAAAAGGAGAGAGGACTCCAGGATCTCCAGCATTCCATGGAAGCATCATCTCCCTGTAAGTCTGGGCTTCCACAGTCTCTGCAGAAGACGGTTGGGGATGGGGGCAGGGCCAGGGGCTCCCTCTGGGGTTCTGAGTGGTCCACTGGGACTCCCCCTGCAGTCACCGCCTGGCCAGTGCTCGGTTCAGCCGAGGTCCGCGCTTGGCAGGCCCGCCCCGCTGCCCTGACCGAGGTATACCGAGGGAGACTCGGGTGCTGTTTACACAGGCCCGGAGCTGGGGCCTGCCTCGCCCTGGCCCGAGCCTCTCACTGCTCTGCGAACTGGAATTCCCCAAATTTTCCCCCAAATTAAAAGAACTAACAAACTGTATTGCAAAAACAAACAGAGTTTGTTTTTCTTTTAACAAATAAAAACTAATTTATGCTCAAGCTTTGTTGCCTTGAATCAACCCAACCGCACAATTTCGCTGCCAACAACTTTCCTGTATTAACTTCTCAAGTTCGTCAAGCTTAGCCCTTGCTGGAAAAAGTATAGGGTTTGCAAGCCACTAATTGGCCTAAAATGCTCCTCTATTTTATATAAACACACAGCATAGTATCAAAAATAGAGTTGCATTCATTAGCCTAAAAATCCAGCTTCCCACGTGGAAGCTTTTTTTTTTTAATACCCCTCAAGATTTAGGTCTGCATCTGGAGTTAAAGGGAAACTTGTTTTTTAAACATGTACTCTGTAATTTCACATTAAAAAAAAAAGATGGCTTTGATTTCTATTTTTGCCTATTAATGTATTTTATAAGCAGTGAAGCTGAAAACGAAAATTTTCCCTCAGCTCTTTGGGGCTGATATTATTAGGAGAGTAAATCTGAAACTATGCAAAAAACAAAGTAATAACAAGACAACAACAATGATAATAAGAAAAGAGACATAGATGGGATCCTGCGGATTCTGCCACAGATGGGTGATTAAATCCCGTCACCGTCTGCAGACCCTGCTCTGCAATCCTCTGTGAGTCCCCCCTCCACGCCTCGCCAGCCTCGGCAGAAAACTCTTCCCTCTCCTTCAGGAAGAGCAAGACGCACGCGTGTGTCCCCTTGGCCAGCTTCTCCTGAACCCGGGGGGCCTGCGTGTCTTCCACCTCCGGGCCTCCTTCGTCCTTTGCATCTGCTGTTTCTCCCTCTTTTGTTACAGGAGACCCCGTCTGTGCCCAACTGAGTTCTCGGTTCCACAGCCTCACACTCCCTCCTCAATTAGCAGCCTCTGCCTCAAATTCTTTTTTTTTAATTTTATGTATTTATTTTTGGCTGTACTGGGTCTCCGTCGCTGCACCCGGGCTTTCTCCAGTTGTGGTGGGCAAGGGCGACTCTCTGGCCATGGCGCGCGGGCTTCTCATTTCGGCGGCTCCTCTCATTACGGAGCAGGGCCCTAGGGCACGCGGGTGTTAGTAGCTCAGACGCTGTGGTTGTGGCTCATGGGCTCTAGAGCATAGGCTCCATAGTTATGACCCATGGGCTTAGCTCCCCACGGTATGTGGGATCTTCCCAGACCAAGGGTTGAACCCGTGTCCCCTGCATTGGCAGCTGGATTCTTCACCATTGAGCCACCAGGAAAATCCTGCTTCAAATTCTTCTGTTGATCATTCTGATCGACAAATACATTTCCCCTATTCTAAAAGCAATGATCTATTTTGCCATTCCTCCAGCTGGTCCCATCATAGCTGCCTCTGCACTAACTTCGAATTCCCAAGAGTCATGTACATCATCTTTCGCATTGCCTCAATCCATGCTCAGGTTTCAAATCTTTGACATCTAATGTTTGTTCTTAAACAGATACCTAGTCTTTTCAAATTTAGTGATAAACTCTGCCTCATCAAATTTAGTGATTCCTTCTAGTGCTCAGGAGACTTGACTTCTGTAGTGGGTGATGCTATGGACACCGATCATCTCAGTCGTCCACTAGGCTGGGGCTACAGATGTGGTCAGCCCACTGCCCCTTCCTCAATACCCTGCCCTGGCATCGACCCTCGGACCTAGAAGGAAGCAAGTTTCCCCAGAAGGTTCTGTTCTGTTAGGTCTGCTTCTAGTGTAGGGTAATGGCTCCATTTTTGACCACATTCAGTGATAGAGTGAATTTCTCGTTAGCTTCCCGTACCATATAGTTTTACTTAGCACCATATATTTTGGTGAACAGAAGTTCTTACTTTTTTTTTATCTATTTGCTTATTTACTTATCTTTTAACTTTGAAATTTTATATTGGAGTTCAGTCGATTAACAAGGTTGTGATAGTTTCAGGTGTACCGCAGAGTGAGTCAGCCACACATACAAAGAAATGTATGCGTGTTTCCTTTGTGGATGGTGCTACTCATGCCTTGTTTATATAGTTAGATATTAGACCAAAAAGGATGGCATCAGTGGCTCCTTTGAGGGGCCAAACTCACATTTAAATTCACTCCTGGAAACTCCCATCGAGTCCCCGTAAATGGAATTGATAGTCGCCCAGGGTCCTGGGATCAAGGCTTCCATGTTGTCTTTGATCCCTTCCCGGGGCCTGTGATCACACAGACTGATTGATTCTGTTTTCTCAGGGGGCCTGGCAGGTGTCCATTATTTTGACACCTGAGGACAAAGCCCTGGTGGAAGCCCTTCTTACCTTTTGACCAGATTATTTTAATTCAACCTCAGGGTCTCCGGACTCCAACGCTCTCATCTTTTGTTTATCCAACGCCTTGCTGTCAAATCACTTTCTTGTAATGCAACTCTGACAGCAGCATCATCTTTCTGGAATCCTCTCATGCCTCGAAAGGAAAGGTCCGTCTCCCTTGCTGGCCTGAGACCCCTTTCCCTCAGCCCTATCACCTGCGGGCCACCCTATGCAGTAGCTGACCTGCTGAACTTCCCATGTGCTCACTGCTGTCTGCTTTTTATGTTCCTAGAGCCTATTTTAGTGAAGTCCTCCTGATTGGAAGGCCTTGACCCTGGAGGTGGCACTGGAACAGCTTGCTGCCCTGTTAAGTCTCAACTCAAATGCTGTTCACTCTAAGAATCACTTCTGCTTCCCTGTCTTCCTCCTCCTTTTGGGTTTATCCCTCTTGGAAGGATTTCTTTCTCAACTTACATCTCACTCAAATTTTTATCTCCCATCTCAGTTATTTGAGAGGCAAGTTTCTTTGGGAGGCAAGTGAGTTCTTTATTTCTAGAATAAAATAATGGAACAATAAGAATAAATTAATGGAATAAAGAGTGGAAAGAACTGTAGGGGGGAAAGAAAGGGGGAAATAAGATGTGGGGAGGAGGAGAGATGAGAGGACTGTGTTGAGGAGAAAGGGGAGAAGGACTACAGCAACGGAGGGATCAGCAGAGACACCAGGATGGAGAACCTCTGATACCACCATTAACCTCGGGTTAACCTCTGATAACCTTCTCATATCCCAGGACGTAAAAATACTCAGTTTGACAGAGTATAGTAGCACACCCAGAACAGACCAACAGAACCTGTGGGCATGCAGGGAACACAATTCAAGGTGGTCCTGGCAATGCAGACCAGGGGGGAAAGACTAAAGAGGCAGCAGATTAGCAATAAGGGGAAAAGAATGAAATCCCATTTCTATGTCAAGTCACACACACATGCTAATTCCCCTTAGTTTAGGGATTTAAAAACTAAAGGAAAAAAACTTAAATGTTTAAGCAAAAAAAACGATAATTTTTGTATGAATGAGGAGGATTCTTTCAACCAGATACAAATAGCACCATCCATAAAGGAAAAAAAAATCATACATTTCATTACTTTAAAAGTAAGAATGCCTGTTCACTGAAATATACTGTGTTAAGAGTGAAAAGGCAAGTCACAAACTTGGAGTGTATACCTGTAACATATATGAACAGTGTAGAATTAATATGAAAATACACACGCATCAAACACACCCATGTTCATACATTCTATAAAAAATAATTAAAAAGTTGGACAGGTTGTATTCAGTAGTGAATAGAAAATAAATGGCTATAAACATGGAAAAAGATATTTAGCCTCTTTGTTGATAAGGAAAACAAAAAGGGTCTGAATGAAATGATGTGGACAAGAAGACCTCTGATGCACTCTTGGGGTGCACCTTGCTGAGCCCACTTTGACAAACTCGGGTGTGTGCTCAGCCGCTTCCGTCGTGTCCGACTCTGCAACCCCATGGACTGTGGCCTGCCAGGCTCCTCTGTCCATGGGATTTCTCAGGCAATAATACTGGAGTGGGCTGCCATTTCCTCCCCTAGGGGATCCTCTGGACCCAGGTATTGAACCTGCTGCTCCTGTGGTTCCTGCATTGGCAGGCAGTTTGTTTTCCACTAGTGCCACCTAGGAAGCCTGAATGAAAATTAGTCAATCACAAAAAAAAAAAAAAAAAATCAATGCTGTGATAAAAAAAATAGTGAAGCATGCCATGAGAACTTGACCTAGGATTTGATCTAGCTAAGGACGCCCAAGGAGGTTTTCTGAAAAGGTGATGAAAGGACGCGCTGAAGGATACAGAGGAATCAGCTACTAAAAAGGGAAGGAAAACAGCGCAGTTCCTCTGTAGGCGGAATCAGGTGTCATACAGGAGAGTCAGAGGAGCCCAGCTTGGCTGAATTGAGGCTGCAGGAATCGGTAGAAAATGAATGAGACGCTAGTTGACAACTCATTAGTGAGTTTGTTAGACTGTTAGTCTTGACACATTTCGATGTGCTTCTTCTCTCATGTGCTTATGAACGAGGGTCAGGTGAACAATCCTGTGAGCAGAGCATCCCTGTTTATGTAACGGTAGGTGTGCTTCTCCATACTCTCCCTCTCTCCCATCCACACACCTGGAGGCAAAGGGCTCTGGCTTTCCAGTAGCACCCTTAAAGCAGCATGGAGCCCTAAACCCCTGCACCCATGGTGCTTGGACGAAGCACCCCCACCGTCTGGATTAGAAGATCCTTCAGTCCCTTGCTGACTCACCCTCTTGCTCCACCCCGTTCTCTCGCTTTGGAGAACTTGCCTCATCAGGGATTCCTTTGCTCTGACGTATCCTTGGCTCTGGTTCTTGCTCCC